ACACTCTTGTGAGACACTCTTGTAGGACACTCTTGTGGGACACTCTTCTGGGACACTCTTGTAGGAAACTCTTGTGAGTCACTCTTGTAGGACACTCTTGTAGGACACTCTTGTGGGTCACTCTTGTAGGAAGCTCTTGTGGGGCAGGGGCACTCTTCTGGGACACTCTTGTGTGAGACACTCTCGTAGGAAACACTTGTGGGTCACTCTTGTAGGACACTCTTGTGAAGCACTCTTACAGGACACTCTTGTGGGGCACTCTTGTGGGACACTCTTGTAGGACACTCTTGTGGGACACTCTTGTAGGACACTCTTGCAGGACACTCTTGTGAGACACTCTTGTGGGACACTCTTGTAGGACACTCTTGTAGGACACTCTTGTGGGTCACTCTTGTAGGAAACTCTTGTGGAACACTCTTACAGTACACTCTTGTGGGACACTCTTACGGGACACTCTTGTAGGACACTCTTGTGGGACACTCTTAAAGGACACTCTTGCAGGTCACTCTTATGGGACACTCTCTTGTGGGAGACTCTTGTGACACTTGTGGGACACTCTTGTGGGACACTCTTGTGGGACACTCTTGTAGGACACTCTTGTGGGTCACTCTTACACGACACTCTTGTAGGACACTTCTTGTGGGACACTCTTATAGGACACTCTTGTGGGTCACTCTTATGGGACACTCTTGTCGGACATTCTTGTGGGACACTCTTGTGAGACTCTCTTGTAGGACACTCTTAAGGGACACTCTTGTGAGACACTCTTGTGGGACACTGTTGCGGGACACTCTTGTGGGACACTCTTGTAGGAAACTCTTGTGGGATAAAGGAGGTTCACAAAGTGCTGCGCCGGCCACGAAATCTGCACATGGAGGTTCACAAAGTGCTGCGCCTGCCACGACATCGGCGCATGGAGGTTCACAAAGTGCTGTGCCTGCCACGAAATCTGCACATGGAGGTTCACAAAGTGCTGTGCCTGCCACGACATCGGCACATGGAGGTTCACAAAGCGCTGCGCCTGCCACGAAATCTGCACATGGAGGCTCACAAAGTGCTGTGCCTGCCACGAAATCTGCACATGAAGGTTCACAAAGTGCTGTGCCTGCCACGACATCGGCACATGGAGGTTCACAAAGTGCTGTGCCTGCCACGAAATCTGCACATGGAGGTGCACAAAGTACTGTGCCTGCCACGAAATCAGCACGTGGAGGTTCACAAAGTGCTGTGCCTGCCACGAAATCTGCACATGGAGGTTCACAAAGTGCTGCGCCTGCCACGAAATCTGCACATGGAGGTTCACAAAGTGCTGTGTCTGCCACGAAAAGTGACAATATCATCTCATGTGAGCTTCAACAAAATGTACACCACATCCCACGTTTGGAATGATTTCGCCCCGTGCTGAGCACACTCCCATCCACCAAAATCGCCATTTCACCTGAGACTTGTCACGAAAACAGAGCTTCGATGCCACACCCTGCAACGCAAATCCCAAGGCACGGCCACATCCAACACCCCAAAAACGCGCCTCTCCTGACGCTAATCCCAATGGAACTGCGCAGCAACCTGCGGATCTCACAAACACCTGCGCCTGTGCAGCGAAATGCGTCACGTTTCTTGTGCGACATGTCATTGTCATGCGAATCACAATGGAATAGCGGCGCAAGCTGACACGTGACACATCCATGAAAAGTCACTTGCAAAAGCTTCCCCCAATGGCAGCGCCTTAGCGTTCTACTGCCAACGGTTGCAAGCACTTGCGGTCGGTTGCGGACGGTTGCAAACGGTTGCGGACGGTTTACAAACCACGGGTCGCGAACAAGACTCTACCCCCAGACCCCCAGAGTTAAACGAGAACCCTTCGCCACGCATTCGGGAAAAGAAAAAACGGTTTAAACGAAGAAGGACAAAAAACAACACAGAAAGGTCTAGAGTCCAAATAAAGGAAAAACATGAGAAATTGAGAAGGTTTGCAAGACAAAAGCCAGCACGTCACAAACATCTACTCGTTCCAACAGGAAGACTTTGCATGCAAACACCAAAGGCAAACTTCTCCATAGGCTGAAACTTCAACCCGTAGTGTTCCCGGAAAGGCATAGACCCTCATCTACTCACTCGACAAGGAATGCATACAAACGCCAAAACAAACGCCTAGCGGCTAGCGCATAGAGACGCAAACGTTCCCACAATGCATCTATCCAAGCATTCGTCCCTCCATCCATCCATCCGTCCGTCCGTCCTTCCGTCCCTCCGTCCGTCCGTCCATCTGTCCATCCATCCCACCCCCAGCAACAATGACTTGCGTCACCAGCATCACCAGCTCGGCCAAACCATATCAGACCATGCCCCTGATCCAGTTAGAGTTCGAGTTCAAATTGGAAGCTGCAGGAGAAGGGTGGAAAAGAAGTGAAGCACAGTGAAGCCATAAGCCAAGCCCAAAAACCCTAAGGAAGCGCGAGACCCAACCCAAGCATCATTTCTACACCACTCCTCGAAGACAAGCTCAGACGGAAGCCGAACCCAAAGAATGAAACCGCAGCCCATCCTGACAAACCCCAAAGGAGTGAAGCACTAAGCAGAAGTAAAGCCAAGCCCAAGCAAGCCAAACCCAAAGAAACTGAAGCGTTAAGCCAAGCAACCCTACCCCAGCAAGAAAAGCCAAAAGAAACCATAAGAAACCAAAGAAGTCAAGCCCTCAGCCAAGCCTAAAAATCCACAACAATACAAAAAAAGAAGTCAGACCCGCACTCCACAGCGCTCCGTCCCAACCACCCCCAACATGACTCACTTCCAGGGAAACCCGACGCCAAAGCCAAAGAAGCAGAAACCACAAGCGCTACCCGAACACCCCAAACATCACTCACCTACTAGTTCGAATTCGAGGCCTTCTGTCCGTCCAGGGTTGAGTTCTAACTGTTCCCGTTTGATTTCGATTTCGAGTGGACCACACTACGAACTCGGCCCACATTTTAACCCATGTCATTCCCCCGATAACTCACTTCGTTTCAGCCTAAGGCCTAGCCTGCCGGCTGGCTCTCGTAACAACAGCAAAAAAGAAAGAAAACATGAAAAAGCAATGAAAATTAAATCATCCTTCTTCGCAATAGTATTAAGCACGGGCAATTAAAACCAAGACCCACACTTGGGCTTTGAAAGCTGAAGGGGCAGTAGTTCAGTTCACGCATTGCTCCAAAATCAACCAAATATTTCTCGAACAGGTGCTGCCTGGGGTGTCGTAGCAGGGCTGCAACACGGCCGTCGCTGAAGCAAACCTTCCATGCTGAAGCAAACCGTTCACAATTCACAGCACCATGAAGATAGACGGTCAGTGGATTGTGTTCTTCCCTTCACCCTAGCTGGCAAGTGGCAAGTCTTATGTTCATGTTAATGCTCTCACCTTCTGATTGACACTTGACAAGTGTTGGATTCACAAGTTTGCCTGGAAACACACCAGTCAGAACTGTGCCCAGAATGATTTCTCAATATTCGACAATATTCACTGAATCACTTGCAGGCTGCGCTGGGTCAATGTGGTGTCTTTGTTCATTATTGTCCAAGCATTGAACCTTTGTTAAACTTTCATTGTGATGACTAGTTCAGCTTCCCCGGATTCTAAACCCACCATCCACCTGGTGAAAACGGCAGTAAAGACCTCGTCGGATCCGACGATTGGTTAGCACATCAAGCGAGAGTATCACTGTTACAGTTACGATCAGTAACATACTCCAATACGTAGGTGTTGGTGTCAAATAGATTTAATAGCTTGACCTTGAAGTAGGCGAAAAGACACCACAGTAAGCCGAGTGTCCAACTGACGCTTTGCTTCTCCACTTTCACTCGAAAGCGCTTCAAGTCTCAGTGAAGGCTTTTTCAGAGCAATGCAAACAGGGAGAAGCACTGGATACTACAAAATCCGTCAAACACAGTCTTGTTTCAGGATCTGTTCCTAGTTCCTAGCGTCTCACTACTTCGGCTGTTCCGCCCATCACTTCACACGGTCTGGGCTATGACAGTTTGTGAAGAGGTAGGCAATCTCTCCCGACCTCAACAAGTTGAGGATTAGGAAATTATGTGTCACCTTCTCTTGCTTGGAATATTTTTGTAGGCCCCGTAGACAAAAAACAACTTGCGATATGCTTGCAAACCACACGTTCCTAACTGATGTGTCCTGTAGATGCAATATCGACAAACACATCCTGAGGCTGCAGCACTACGCTATGCTGATCTGTAAGCCAAAGACGGAATCGCTGCACGTTCATCTGACAGACCAGGCACGTGCAAGGATCTTTCTATTGCTGTACTTTCTATGATCTGAATCTAGAATAAATTATGCTGGAAAAAACTATGTATACACTACTTGGTGTTCTATGGTGTTGTCAGGTAAGGATCCGCCCTTCTCATCGCTTGTCCACATTGTCTTGTCAGTTACCTAAAAACTTAAAACACCTTTAAAAACCTCCTATAGCCTATGGAGGCTCACTGTAGTCAATAACAAATACTGTGTTTTTGGTTGTTGCAACTACATTTTCATGCTGCAAGGTTTGGAGCCATTGATGTCGATACAGCGGGTGGTATTTGTATGGTAGTTGAAAAGTAGCTGGCTTGATGGGCGATCGAACTTGCTCATAATCTCCCTAGCGGCCTCAACGCCGCTGCCGTCGCTTGTCTTTGCCGCCGGTGGCCATACAAAAGGAAGCTTCTCTGGCTGAACCTCAGCATGTTCAACATGTGTAACATGAACGTCAAAAGCTTGGAACGCTTTCCAGGCTATCCATAGTATCTGCAGGCTTGTTCCTGGTTGTTTGTAGTGCAAATCTACTTTTGGCTGATTGATGCAGTTTCTTATCGCCGACATGTCACTTTCTTCCAAATCACAAATCAGCCATCAGCGAGCCTTAGCCCTGTCGAGTCCCACTGTCTTACCCGCAAAAACAAAGCGATTGTTGATGATCTCATGACGCACCCGTCATGGCTGTAAGCACTTTGTGGGCGATGATGTCCCGACCGCATCTTCGGTTTCCAAGCGGGACTCCAAGAGAAGGGCTGCCAGGATTCGACCTCTCCTGGTGTCACATTCAAGCTGACACCCTCAGACTTGCCATGTCTTCGCTTCTTTGCTACTCCAAACAACTACAGAAATAGAGCCATTCTCCACTTGCTGGGCCAAACTCACTCCAGCAAGGCAGCATGCCGACCTTCTGCAGGCAGTGGCACCAACAAGTTCTTCAGAATGTCTCCTCTCCTGCGATCTTCGGAATTGTCAGATTGATAGATGGCTTAGATGGACGTAATGAGAAAGCTACAACCGTCACAGCCTCTTTCGGCCTTCAGTCTTGCCCCAAGAAAATCCAAGAACGCGCTACTTGTAATAAAAAAGGAATGTCTAACAGTCTTAGTGTCGTGATTTTTTCTGACTGCTGCTACTTCAGAGTCTACTACTACTACTACCACCGCATACTACATACTACCACTTATTGCTGTGGAGAATAAACATGCTTTCCTTTACGAAAGGCAACTGTTTGCCATCTTTGGGATCCGGCTACTTACAAATCGCCTGGCTGGCCAGGGCGACGAAGACAAGACCTAGGCCAGTGGTGATGCGGAGCCGATTTTGGACCCAACACAAAACCAACTCAACATGTTTAATGAAAAACCACCCGAATATATATATATATATAATTATGTTAGATTAGATCATGTCATATAAGATTTTCTTTCTGAGTGCATCATTTTTTGAGACACCGCCTCACAGAATCATCAATGACAGTGATTGAGGCAATGAAGCTGCCATATCGTTCACTCAGGTGAAAACGTCAGTGGAACCAAAATACAACAAATCCTGGCAGTGGCAAAAGAGCCCGTGGACGCACGTCCATTTGATCTAATCAAGGGTGCAAACCGCGTCCTACCAAAGGACAAAAAAGGACCGTCGTGGTCCAAAGGCGTCAGCGCGCCCGTTTCTCCTAGGCTCCAGAGCTCGAGCCCCTCCGCTGTGGAAAGGGGGTTAATCCAAAAAGGTCAACATGAACCTCATGCTCACATTGGTACACCTCCCTGACCTTTTTGGTCGTCAAGGTCCCAAGGCCAGTTGTGCTTGGCCGCGAGTCCTCTCAGGGTGTCCACGAAGTTGGCCTGCATCTCGCGCCATTTCTTCTCCAAAGCTCTCTTGTGGATCTTTCTCCCTGCTTCGAACTTGTCGTCATGAACCAATCGCCAGAACTGCTTCTGCGAAAAGAACTGCAAGATCGTCTTGCGGGCTCCGAACTTGGCGAGGGAGTCTCCAAGCTGTGCCAATCCATTCACCCATCGAAGCTCTGTTCCAGCTCGAAGCGCTTGATTCACCGCCAAGGTGAGCTCATATCCGGCTCTTGAATCTCTCAGTCCATGCAAGGATGAAAGGTTCCGGGTCATCGCGTCATAGATGCCGCGGGAGTCCATCACAACCGCTCCAGCCACCGTCTTCACGGCGTCGTGGATCTTGTTTCGCTGGATCTTCGCTCCAGCAAACTCTGCAAGCAGCAACCTGATCTGGTAGTTCTGATCCTCTCCCATGGTGATTGCTTGAACTTCTGCTCCATTCGATCCCAGGCGCTGGCGCGGAGTCTTTCCGCTCTTCCATTGCACCAAAGCCACTTGGACTTCTTCTCCAATTGAAGTGCTTGGCGGGGAGCCACACCAGACAAAATGCCAGCCGTGCTGCTCCGATCCGGTCGGTTATGTTGTGATGCGTCAGCCCATGTGATCACTGCCAGGTCATACACGGACTTGATGTTCCAAGTCGACGGAAACAGCAATCCCTGACCGCTCTCGCGCTTCATCTCCCGGGTGAGGCGGTTCACCTTGTAGAGAGACTCAAATGGTCGCCCGGTTAATCTCGCTCAACAGCAGTGAAGCTTCTGCAAGGTACTGCGGGCCAGTCTGCGTAGCCCTCCAGCTCACAGTTCCAAGCGCTCCTCTCATCGCTGAAAGCTCAGCCGCGTTGAGAGGTGTCTTTCGAGCCTTCTCCTTGTCAATCTCCACTTCTTCAAGCCATCTCTTGGAGCACTTCTCCTGGTTCAAGACAATGCTCATGTCCTTCATCTGGCGGATGTTGCAACCAGCGAACTCAAATTCATTCTCTTCCCACTTGCCCCATCGAAATGCTTCGGCAAGTGCTTTCTCTCGGGACTGGTAGTGCTCGGAGTCCACCAATCCAGCTAGCAGGAAGTCATCAACATGGATACCTGCCAGTCCATGAATCGATGATGAACCATCTTCTTCAGCATGTAGGAGCACAAAGCAACATTTGTCCCCAAGGAGCTGAGTCCATCCCGTTTCTCGCATCACCTGGACGCACCTCTCGTACCACTTTCGTGGTGCATGCGCCAGGCCGTATAGAAAGCCTCGCGCACTCGAAGTGCTCGTTGATGGCCAGGATCTGCTCCAAACATAGCTGCCAACTCCGGCGGTGCCATGACATTCAACTCCTCATCTTCCAAGCTTATGCCAGTCTGCAAAAATGCGCTCGTCACATCGCCGGCCTTGACCTTCATCTTCAGGGCTGCAGCTAACGTCAAAATGACGTTGCGACCGACCTTGGACATGGTCGGTGAGGCTGTGGCCACTTCGGTCAAATTGTGCGCCATAAAGTCTAAGACCACAAGGCGGGCCTTAGCCGTTCCATCGCCCTTCCTCGTGAGCACCCATCGCATTCTCATCAGCTTGTTGGCGTCGAGGTCCTTGTTCTCCTTGGTCGTGAGATTCCTCAAGGCCTTGCTGATGACAACCTGGGACAACTCTTTGGCCATCGCCAAATCGAACTCTTTCTTCTCAGCCATCGACAGGGTGTGCCACTCCACCTACATCTTCTTGCTCAGCCAAACTGTTCCACGATGTCGATCTTTGTTCTTGGCAAGCCATTCAAAGTCCTTCTCGTCAACCTCCAAGGTGAAGGAAACAAAAGTCTCTTCCTTCTTTGGCTTTTCCACCGCTGCTCGCCGGGATCGGCGATTTGGCTTCTTCTCCACCAGCATGAGCTCTTCTGAGGATTCTGATCGCGCCGAAGACGAGGATGATGAGCTGCTCTCAGACTCTTCGCCATCGTCTGCCTCCACTGGTGCCTTCTTGCCCTCGTAGAGGTCGTACATGAAGGTCTGTCCATCTCTGTCCTGATGATGTCCATCGTGTCCACCAGGAAGATCACAATCAAGTACAGGACATCGATTTGCTCCGGATTCACCTCGCAAGGGTGTTCCATCCAGGACATTTGGACCAACCGTCCTCAGAGCCTCATTGAGGTCCGTTGCCATAGAGCTCGGTTGTGATGGGCCAGGTCGATCAGATGGGTCTTCCAACTCCTCTTCAGCTTTTCGTTTCTCGCCCTTCTCTTTATCTGACTCGCAGTCTCTTTGGAGTGCGCTGCGTCTCAGAAATCAACTCAAAGAAGGTCTCGCCAGTCCATCGATCCTGCAAGGTCTTCTGCTGGTCCACAGTACTCTTCAATCGTCACCTCATCACCGCCAGCGATCGGTCGAATGACCGTCTTGCGATCTCCCGCGAGTTCCTCCAAATCCACAGGACATGATGTCGCCCTCGAAGGATTGAACAATGCAAGCCGTGGAAGTTCGTGTACTCGAACCAAAAATCTCTTGCCATCTTTTTCTCGCAGTGCCCAAGTGTCGTTTCCAACTCGTTCAGGTCCAGGTTCTTGGTGGATGGTAGCTGGTCCAAGATCATGAACTTGTTGTGCCTCGCTATACACCAGCCACGTCGAGGTAGTACCGTCCTTGGAATGATCTCATGAGAGCCTCCAAGGTCACAGGTGCCCGATAGATGGTCGTGCCCTCCAAAGTCGCATCCAGTTGTTCGCGCTAAGCAAAAACTGGACGGATCTGGTTCAGCTTGGCCCTGATCAAGGTCGCCCCAGAAACAAGCCATGCCGTTGATCCCTCCATCAAAACCAGTCTCAAGGGTCCTGACCAACCACCTTTGACCTTTCCAGGTCGCACTTTCTGTCGCCAAACCATGACCAGTTGACCAGGTTTGTAGGAGCTTGATTTCTGCCCATAGCATTCGCCAGCTTGCAAAATCGGTCGCCAGCTCGCTCTCTCTCGAAGGCAATTTTGGCTTTCTCGCGCTCCTTCACCAGGTTGTCAAAGGCCTTCCGAGGCTCAATGCCCTTCAAAAGCAACTGAGGTCATCAACCATTTCGTCAAGCTCTCAACGATGTTTTGACTCTTCGGCTCCCATGCACCACTCTCATAGCGAGCAAGGTGATCCACCATGGTCAAACCTGTCGCTCGGTCACGCCACAAAATCATCTTATGCTTGACACCATCTTTCTCCTCATACTCAAAGACATCGGTGCCAATCTGCTCGAATGGGTTTGGAGTCTCATTGGTTCCTGCAGGAGGTCGAGGTCGAGGTTTTGATGCCTCTTTGCACTCGGGACATTCAAGGTTTGCAGCAAGTTCAAGAGCCCAACCTGGTGACCCTCTAGCCTTCAACAGTTGAACCAGGTTGGCACGATGAACTCGAAGCATCAGCTGTTTCACAGCCTCCAGGTGTTTGCCCTTGGGAGCCTCTCCAGCGTCGATTCGCTTCCGGCTCAAAGCAAGGATCTCATGTTCTGGTAGGTGTTGAAGTTCATCCTCCACCAGTCCAGGAAGTTCAGATCGGCGGACATCATCAAGTAGTGCCGCCATCGTAGATCCAGGACGTTGCCCTTCGGGTAGTCGCCGAGATAGAATCTGGTCTTGATCATACATCACCTGGAAGATGTGCTTCTCAACGTCCTTCTCCAATGAACTTACCTGTTGCTGCCAAGCGTGCTTCATGCCCTTCAGAATCTCCTTGCACATTCGTTGAGGGTAATACGAAGATGCTTGTGCAGCCATGCCTCGACATTCTGCATGTTCATGAGACCTGTCACATCTTTTATTCAAGGTCAGCCATAGCTCTCGACTGGAAGTGAGAATCGTCCATGCTTTTCTCAAGGGAGTGCCCTGCCACTGTAGCCCATATGCACAGCCGTCGATCCGGATCCAGTAGGGACCTCGTCCATGACGTCTCAACATCTTTGTCAATCGATCGATGGCTCGGGATCTCCAACCAGCAGCAGCAGTTGTTGGCCATTCCCATGCTACATCACCTCCAGAAGCCAGAACATGGTCTAAGGAAGCCGAGATCTCATCGCACCGGCGTAGGTCATTGCCCCGTCGCTTCAGGAACTTGTCCATCTCTTCCGGACTGCGCTCTGTCAGGTTCTGCAGCGCGGAAAGGCGAGTGCATCGAAAGGAAACCCAGGCCAGCCGTGGCTTCGCCGTCTTGATGGTTTGATCGAGCTTGCTCGTTCCCTTTCGGGCATCCAGGTCATAGCCGCTGAGGTAGTTAATCCGCTGGCATTGGAAACCAGCCTCTTCAAAGGTCTTGGTCAGCAGGCTGTCCTTCGAGCAGGCAATCTCCATCAAGTCGACCTGAGGACTCGTCATGTTGACTAACTCTCGCACTGGTTCCATCACGGAGACAGTCATGGCTGCCGCTATGGCCAGCCTCTTGGCCAACGATGGCCGTACCTGCTTCTTGTGCACGTTGTTCACGGCCTCGAACTCCTCATTCAAGTAGGATGGAGCCGCTCCAGCCGCCACTGAACTTGTACAGGCGCACGTCAAGCAAGTAGCAGGGTTCGTAGTGCTGTCGTCAATCGTAGTGTCTGTTGCAGGAGCAATCTCCTGTGCTTGTTGTGAGTTGCGTGTTGGACTCATAGTTGATGTTGTAGTATTGGCGCCATCTGCAGCGTCCAGCCGCTGTCGGCGCATTCCGGCCTTCATCCTGGCTCGTAGTCCGCTCAGCGCATCCCAA